AAAGCACAACCAAGAGTTAATAACTCTATCGACTTCTCATTAAATCTATGTTTAACTCTTATAGATCAACTGTAGCATAAAAAAATTTCTACTCGATAATGATGTTCAACTGTAAAATGATCTTGTTGGCGACGAGCGCGACCTCATCTTTCTCTATAAATAGAACTCATATCTGGGATATATATGTTGCGACTTTCACAAAATGAGATAACCTCCACAAAAAGATTATTACATCCATCATCTCTAAATTTCTACAAAAGTATCTTCGAACTCCCAACAAGATGTAGTGAATTCAAAATATCCTGAGATTTTTGTTGTAATGATTGAGAAAGTGAATAAGCGATTTCTAATATTTTATTCATAAGATGTAAAATGAAGACAAAATCAAAGGAAATCAATGTCTCTAAAGCTGTCGCCGCTTCTCCACGTTCAGAAGATGCACTTCCTTCATCAATGAGTTTATATATAACAACATAAGTGTCACTAAATATTTTTATCAAGCTTGAAATTGTTTTCAAGTAAGAACCCCATCGAGTATCACCTGCCCTCTGCAAATTACTTGTTTAATTCAAATCAGTTCCAGTTTCAAGTTGTTATTCTTCAATCAAATGATTTATCTCGTAAGAATAAACATTTTTTAGTTCATCGATGCGCTTATATGAGGCAATAACAACATTGATAATAAATGATAACTTGGAAAAAAATTGATAAACATATATGACCTATTTCGCTGCAGCTACTAGTGTCAACTGTAAACGATGGGCAAAACAATGCACATAATAAACAAAATGACACTCATTGCTAACTAATGCTTGTAACCCATTCCACTTTCCTCGCATGTTACTTGCACTGTCATAACATTGACCTCGAATATTCTTTATGTCAAAGAAATAACGACAAAGAACGGAAAATATCTCATCTTTTAAAGTCACTACTGAAGTATTAGGAACATGAATAATGCTAAAAAACAATCATTTACCAGACAGAAATTATCAACATACCGTAAAATAATAGACATTTGTTGTTTTCTTGATACATCCCCTGCTTCATCAATAATAACACAAAATTTTTCTTCACCAATTTCTTTACGAATTGCTATTTTAATTTTCTCTGTCATAATATATAAAATCTCCTTTTGTATCTCAGGCGAAGTGTAAGAAACATTTTTTGGAGCATTTTCAAATACAACTTTTTCAATATCTTTATTATAATAGGCTAATTGTTTCACGAGTTCAAGACAATTTTCTTGGTTAGATGAATATTCACTCTCGTCACGACCTCTCATTGATAGCCCTTGTAAAGCCATCCAATGCAATGCATCTATAGAGGTTTCAAGTCTAAGCTTATTATTAGCAATTTGTAATGATATTTGCTTATGCAACACTTGAGGCAAGTGTCTAGACTGGTTAAGAAAATTCTCCAATTCTTGCTCAATAAATTTATGAGGTGAATTAGGTTTTGAACCTACATGCATTTTAAAATAACAACTTTTTCCATTTATTTTCTTTCAATTTCGAAGTCTATTCATAGTGAAAGTCTTGTGTGATGGATGACTATATGGTTTATTAAAAAGAAAGCAAATAAAACAAAAGACAACATCATTTTTAGGAGAATATTCTAACCATGAACGATTTTTTTGTACCAGGAAGCTTGAAATCGATGAGGGTAAGAAACATGTCCATATTTTTTGAATTTAGAGAGTACTGGTTGATATGGACCCTCAGCAATATAAGTTATTCGAATTGCATTTCTTTCTTGTTCAAAAGGATATTTTCATATTTGCTTGCGCTTACCAGAATCTCGCTCAAGTAATTAGAGTTGATACTTAATTTTTGATTTCTAGCTATCTTTAAAGGTCTATCTTCCGAAGGTGAAATGTCAATAGGTGTACCAGTTGAAGTTTCATTTATTGTACTTGTATTTTTCGAAGTTTTCCCGCTTTTTCTCTTAAAAACTCAATAATTGTTCGATTTTTCCCATGACAAGCTGCATTTATATAAAATTAATTCACGAACATACAAAAATCAAATTTAGTAATCACTATTCACCTTAACAATTATTAGATTAACTAAAGGAATACTAAAATTAAATATAAGATCAAATAGTTCTAATTAAAAAATAATAAATATAATATTATTTAATTACACACCTTTAAAAATCGAGTGTCGAACAATGGAGAATCAGATTAAAGCAATATTAGAGGAGTTTTAGTGGATGAGAGGGTGATTAACTCGAGATTTTTATATGAAAGATTTTAATATTTTAATCTATTTATAAGACTTTTATCAACTCCTACCATTATATTATTACTAGTGTGTTAAAAAGGATATATTGGGAGATCTTGGGGAAGATGAAAGAGGAGAGGAAAGATTGGGATTGGGACTTTTGTTCAAGTTACTGTTTTGGAGATTTATAATGAGGAAATTTATGATCGTTTGTCCAGTAATGGTGGAGGTGGTTTTGGAATTGGATGGCCTAAAGTCAATGGATCCAAGGTAATTTTGATTTTGATGTCTCTTCTTGATGACTGGAGTTCATGTTTTCCGATTTGTGGTATGTTATTGGTGATTTGATGCACATTTTGCGGTTCAAAATATAGGATTTGATTGTACTGGTGTCTCGTCTTTCGATGTCCCGACGTGTCGTTTTTGAATTGGTATCTCACTAGTGTTGCGTGCTCGTGTCCATGAACGTTTTGCAGGTGAGACTAGAAGTAATGGGGAAGAAAGCAAAGAATGCTACTTTCCTAACAGGAAGTGAACCTGGAAAGATTTCAAAAGAGATTCAGAAAGCAGAGAAGAGAAGAATTGTCAAAAGCACTCTCTGCAATGAGAGAAGCTCTAGAAGTCACTGCATGGTACATCGATTTTTCGACATCTTTTCTATTTGATGATCAAAATAATAATTTTAACATTTTGTTTCAATCTTCACAGATAATTCTTGATGTTCCAACTGTTGGAGGAAGGCTTATGCTTGTGGACATGGCAGGTTCTGAAAATATTGATCAAGCAGGTCAAGTCGGATTCGAGGCGAAACTGCAGGTAATATAGAATTCGAGTGTGTGACATTAAACTAGTTCAAATAGTTGAACTCGAAGTTTCGATTTATGATTTACATTCGATTTACTGAAAAATTGCAGACTGCAAAGATCAACCAGGGAAACATAGCACTGAAAAGAGTAGTTGAATCCATTGCTAATGGAGACTCTCATGTGCCTTTCAGAGACAGTAAATTGACAATGTTGCTCCAGGTAAAGTTCCATTCCCATGGTTATTTTCGTGTCCGACACTCTCAAGTCCGAGTGGGTTAACAAGTTTTTCTATCCCACAGAATTCATTTGAGGATGATCAGTCAAAGATTTTGAATATACTTTGTGCAAGTCCGGACCCTAAAGAGATACATAAGACAATTTGCACCCTTGAATATGGAGCAAAAGCGAAGTGCATTGTAAGGGATCCTCATACACCTTTGAATGACAAAAATGAAGATTCATCAGCTGTTAATTTAGGCTAGGCTTGCTGCAATGACCTGTTCATAAACAAACTACAAATGGAGAGCAAGCAGCGGGAAAGAGAGAAAGAAGAGGCGCGTAAAGCACTCGAAAAGAAGGAACAAGAAGTGGCGGCACTACGGTCCCTTCTGGAAGTGAAGGGTTCGGGTGTGACCGAAGACGAAATCAACATGAAGGTAAATGAGCGAACACAAATGTTAAAACTCGAGTTGGAGAGGAAACTAGACGAATGCAAACAAATGGCTGAGGAATTCGTTGACATGGAAAGGAGAAGGATGGAGGAAAGAATCCTGCAACAGCAAGAAGAAGTTGAGATGGTAAGAAAGCGGCTGCAGGAAATAGAATTTGAGCTACGCGGTTCAAGGGATGGCAATGAGGAGAATGAATCATCAAATGAGTTGGATGGAAGCAGCTTTGCCAAAAGGCTGGTTGGGATTTATGGTGATGAGGTTCCAGGGATGGTAATGTCGATGGAGCTCGACATGAATGATCCCGAACCATATATTCACGCTGCAAATCAATCCGAATCCGACATTGCCCCACAGTTTGGCGTAAAACCAGTATGAGGAAGAAGAAACAGAAGAGGATGATGAAGAAGTGGAGAAGGTGATCATAGAGGAAAAGATGATATGCTTGAACGAGAAAGCTTTTGAATCGACGACGCCTAACCACCCGGATTCTGATACTTTGAGACTATTAAGGATCCAAAACATCTTCACCCTTTGTGGGAACCAAAGAGAGCTTTCACAACAAACCAGAATACCTGCAAAATCATGCATTGATCCTCATTGGTCCTCTGTTGCTTCAGATGTTATTGTTGTGAAAAGTTTGAAAAAGGAAAACCAAATCCCTGCTGATGAATGCACTGATGGTCAGGTTGATGTCTATGTGAAATGGGAATCATCCAAGGAAAATCCTGGAAAGTTCATCACAACACTCAAGGTTACGAATGATGCAACACTCGCGGATCTCCGGAAGTTGATCGATATCTATCTCGATGTAGCTAATCAAGCTTTCTCTTTTCTTGTGCTTGGGGTAAGTTATTGTTAGAACTCAATTCATACAAACTGTTTCTGAACTACAAAAGTATGAGCTTATACTTTAGCAACGTGCAGGATCCGACCGGGGCGACCGGGCCGAAAGAGAATGAAGCCATTGTTAAAGCCAGTACGCTGCCAATATGCAACAATGGTTACCTGGCTTGCTTAAGACCAGCAAAGGGTCTTCAGATAACAAATCATCTGCCATTGAGTCCACTGCAATTGACTCCATTACCATCGACTTCACTGGAAAACAAGCTTACACTTGCCGCAAGCACTTGCTTGTCGAACCAAGATGATGACTTATCGCCTCACCTCAGTACCACTCCATTTATCAATGCTCGAAGAAGATGGTAAGATCGATAATTGCTCGGTTTACAAAAATATGTAAATGTTTTTATTTGCTTAATAACTAAATAAGCAAAAATCATTCAAGACATCATTCGAGTAACAAAATAACTAAATGATTAACACTGTGTTTAGTCATTAATTATTTCACGGTTTAGAAGCCAAAAGCAGATGCTGGAAATTCAAACATACGAGTAAAACTACAAGCCATCTCTCCTGTACTCGTTGAACTCGTTCCATCATCAAGCCTTCAGATCATCCAAACCGAAATTCGCCTGCATAAACGGATTATAATTTGGCTGGTCGATTCTCACCGCGCAAAATCGTTATGATAACAGAACATACAATACGTTTGGCATGAAAAAGAACCATGTTCTCATGAACTTTGCTTAATAGTCCATTATCTACATATTTATATCCTTTCAAAGTCATATTCAAGTGCGAAATCGTTAGAATTGCTTATGTTATTATTTGCGACTAAGAAACGTAAGTTTCTCCATAAACAGACGGGATGCACAGAACGGCGGCATAGCAAAAATTTATTTCGTAGGACGGTTCTTACCAGGAATTTGTGGTTCTCCTCAAGAAACTGAGGGAAAGTCGAACAAAACTTCTCCATGTCAGCGTTAACATCTCCAGAGCCAGCTATCACTTCCATGAACTTCTTCCTATCCGGAGCCAGCTTCATTGCAATCTGCAATCCAACAATTCACATAGTGATGTAGGACAAGTGACTTGATACTCGAAATATCCAGAAAATCAAAATAACTCGTTCATTAAAGCCTAATTCAAACATTAAGTATCGAACGCCCTGCAAATCACAGGTTATTATTGGGAAAGAGAGATTATCAATGAAAAAGAAACTTAATCAAACGAGAACAAAATATTCACCGTGAAACTGGAACTAGCAATCCAGCCATGAAACTTCTTCAGGGTTTTGCCATAGGAGTCAGTGCAACATTCTGTCATAGTCCAATCTGGATGTGAAAGCAAATTGCGGAACAGTTCTACGAGGAAATCCATCGCTCTGAAAATCATTTAAATTGTAAATTACAAATCGCTAAACAGAAGGCAATGGAACATATGAAAGCGAGATTTCTGCCATTGCCAGGCAATGTTATGTACCGTGTCAACCAAAGAAGACCATTGGTACAGCTAGATGAACCTGTTGCGGTTTTACACTCGACCTCTTCTTTCACCATATTGTACAAGTATTTGTATTTAGTGGGATCAGTTTCGTATTTCTTTTCCAACCTCTGAAAACAGAATCAACCGAAAACAATAATTTACGAGTTGTAAAGTAACGCTTTTCAGAAAACCAATATCTGTTTTATTAGACAGTCATGAATGGTGTTAAAATGCCTTCGAGATTGAAGGGCAGAAAAGGTTAAACAGATACGATGACCACCTAGATACCCATATGCATCTGTTTTCAGAAATTAAATCAGTAGCATACTTGAAAAGTTAATCAAGATAAATATCTTACCGATATGTTACCACCGACATCACTCTTTACAAGAGCCATAGCAGACCCAAACTTATCTGTAAAAATACAAAATGGAGAGATTAAGTTTTCCCTATAAATAATGTATCAACATTGTATCGACTGCATATCATAGGCCTTCTCCGAAGACATCAGCCTTTCGTTATCCATCACACACATGCACAAACCGATCAGATCCAGTTTGAAATGCAATCTTAGACAATCCTACATAAAGACTGTTAGCCAAAACTATCAAGCATTCTGTCGATTATCATCAAAGAGTATTTTCGTATCAAATCTAGCATACAATCATAATCATTTTGACCTTACCATGCTTTCCAAATCTAAAAAATTTGCAGCCATAAGGTCAGCTTCTCCACAAACAGAAATGAAGAAAGATTATTAACTCGAATTAGATGCTAAAAGACCAATCTAATCTAACAAGCTTAACAAAAGAAAATCAACCCATTATCAGAAATCCTCCAAGATTACCAAAGGCATAAACAAAACAAACCTATAACTGGCAAAATCATCTTGCAGACTTCCAAAAAGGGCTTAGCAAGCATTTCTCCTTCTGGAGATTTGATATGCTTCATCCCTTCCAGTGATGGAGTGAAAACTGATCCTTCCATTGCTCAAAGAAACCTTTCAACTTTTGTTCTTCTTTTTCCTTCACTGCAAAAATCAAATTGAAATCCCCAAGATTTAATTTAACCACAATAAGATCCAATAAATAAAAAAGGCAGCCACTTTGATGTCTAAAAATCACTAAAGTTGTAGCCTTTTTACTCTATAATAAAAAACACAATTCAACAATCATATAAAAAGTGTGGATTTTAACCAGATCTATCCAAAAAAAAAAAAGATAGGGAGATCAATACATGGAACTTCACTGCTCTTAAAACTGAAAAATCAAGAGAAAAATGGAGAATTCAGAGGAATTAAACAATAAACACAGGATTTAAAATATGGGTATAATGTTGTGATTCGATACAGATAAAGAACAAAAAAGGTACCTGGAGATTTTTTTCTTGGAGAATTGGATTCAGTTGAAATGTTGAAGACGAAAGAGAGACTGAATTGAAGTAAAAGCGGAAACAACTGGGCTCTGGTCGGTTGCACATCTACACGTTTCAGTGTGTACACGTGGCTTCTTTTAATTGGAAGGACTAACTGGTTCCCAAAGGTAAGATCTTGATGGACCACGAGCAAGTATTTGGGTCGGGTACCCGAATTCGAATTTTCATGGGCTAGATTTGGATGGGTTAAACTTGAAATCCACTAAGATCATCATCACCCAAATTAGAAAATGAAAAGCCCTAGATCCGACGCTTGTAAACACCCTATAAAACCCCACAAATCTGTTGTTGGCACCTTCATTGGTTTCCTCTCCGCCTCTTAGCTCCAACATCTGCAAAAATGGTGAGTTTTTTTGTTTTATCTTCTAATGGATTATATCATTCATGACTCTCAGTCATATCTATGGGTTTTAATTGTTTTTTTTTCTTATTGTCTTTTAGCCGTTCAAGAGGTACGTTGAGATCGGAAGAGTGGCTCTCGTTAACTACGGCAAAGACTACGGCAAGTTGGTTGTCATCGTCGATGTCGTTGATCAGAATAGAGTATGCCTTTTTTCAGATTTAATACAGTATCTGTTTAATTTTTCCTTATCATTTTTCTTAGCTGTTTAGTGGGTTTTACAGTAATGAAATATCCGACTGGTTCAGCGTAAAGTTGTATGATTAAGGGGTATTTTCAGGGGAGGATGAAGGGTGGGGAGCAACGTTAGGCAAGCATTTCTTTTAATGTGTGTATTTTTCTTTGCCTTTATTAATATGCAACTTATGTTACGACTTGATTGTAGCATATACGCATGCTATTTGAGATCAAAATTGTAGTTTTAGTGGCCGTAAGGATAGAATAACGAGCCTAGTTAAAGTAAACGTAATGATTGCATGATGAGTGAAAGCTTATTTTTGCTTAATTTGGTAATGCAGGCTCTTGTTGATGCCCCGGATATGGTTAGAGGCCAAATGAACTTCAAGAGACTTACATTGACAGATATCACAATTGACATTCCCCGAGTTCCTAAGAAGAAGACACTGATTGAAGCTATGGAGAAGGCCGGTAAGGATGATAATTTTCACTTACATTATCATACCATTGTTTCTCAAAGTGATGTTTCCTTTCTATTTGGCTTTATGCGATTGTAACAGATGTTAAGAACAAGTGGGAGAATAGCTCATGGGGTAGAAAGCTGATTGTCCAGAAGAGAAGGGCATCCCTCAACGACTTCGATAGGTTCAAGCTTATGTTAGCTAAGATCAAGGTCAGTTTATCGAACCAGTAATCTCTTTACCGTTTGTTATGCCTAATTTATTTTGCCAACATCTGAATGTTCTCTCAAAACTTTGACACGAGCAGAAGGCTGGAGTCGTCAGGCAAGAGCTTGCTAAGCTTAAAAAGGAGAATGCATCTTGAAGTGAAAGCTAGGTTATTGGAATTTTGCTTGGCTTTTCATCAACATTCCTCGAGTTCTTTTGATGTGAGTTTGTTGCTATATATTGGTTTTCTATTTTCGATTGCTTTCTGCAATTTTCATTCGAACGTTCTCTGGTATCTTTGCTCCAAAATCAAAAGTCATTCTCTCATTTACAGTAAACAATGGCAGACTAACCAAATTGTTGGTCATTCTGAAGAAGTAAAAGCATGTAATCTACGTTAGGAAGGAGAGAGCTCAAGAAGTGTTTCCTTTATCTTTCTTGTTGGGTGAAGAGTGACAATATTCTACGTGTGCCTTTGCATCTTCGACTCATACACACTTGTCTTGGTATCTAAACTTTTAATTTTTTTTTTCAAAATCATATTAAAGTTTAATTTTTGTTTCATTAAGAATTTAACGTTGAATTTTAAAAGTTTAGGTACCAAAATGGATCAAAATTGATATTTTTAATAGTTTAATAGTAAAATAACTGTCTAAATTATACATCAAAATATGATTTGGTGTCTTTTTTTTTTGTAAAAAATAGGTGTCTAACATTTTTTTTACATTTTAGGTGTGTCCTGTAATGTTTTTATTTTTTTAATAATAAAAATATTATTTTTAAAAAAAGGAAAAATTAAAAAAAAATCAAACCCTATTTTCCCTTTGTCGTCCTACTACCTCTCATCACCTTACCTTTGACGACAAACAATTACCATCAGTCAAGTTTTGTTCGGAGCATGAGTATTTCATGTATTGTACTGTACGATTGGTTGTGGCTGTTGAAATCATCGGAAAACATAAACGAAAAACCTAAATATTCAGTGACTTGTTGTGATGTTTTTTCGCGACGATCGACACAATTTCACGGTAGGTGGGGATAAGATTTTGGTTGCAGTGGCGAGACAGTGATGATGACGTCAACGATGGCCACGGGTTGATCGGTGACAAAAAAATATAAAATTTTGGGGTTTTTATTTATTTTTAATTATAATATTATTTTTTAAAATAAAATAATTTTTGAAATTTTATTTGTGCGACATGTGTAAAATTTGGGGTTTTTATTTATTTTTATTTGCCTTTGATCAGTGAAAACTAAATATATGTGATTAAATGGTGCTTGCTTGGATCCTAGTTTTACCAATTCTGCTACATGCATCCATGAGGAAAAATAAAACAAAGACAATTTTGTAGGGTAAGAATTAATCGATATCGACCCATCCATCAAAATTAAATTTGATTTATTCTATTTTGAAATTAATTTATGTGACTTTAATATTTTATTCATTTAAAATGTATAATAAAATCAACTTAATTCATTGATTTTTTATTTTTAAATGCAAGTTGAATAATATAAATGAAAATATTTATATTTTCAACTACCAAAAACTTTTAAGACCAAAAAACAAACTTTAGGTCAATTCAACTACCAAACATTTCTTTGTTTGTGAACTAATGAAAGCTATATTGCATATTTTTTGACATGCAAATATGCACCAACTCAGTAAAATCTGATTAATTTAAAGAAATATTGTAAAAGAAAAGGAGAATTGTTAACATTTAGATAAAAGGTACGCCTTGTACTTTTAAAAAAATCAATGTGGTTCTCATACTGTTTTTCTTTTAATGTGGTCTTCTAATTAAAAAAAAACTCAATGTGATCATTTTACGACGTTTTCCGTTATTGACCGACAGTTCTCAAATATGTTACGAAGGGAATACTGCTTATAGAGAGAAAATAATCAGTTTTCGGTTGCTTGGGGTAGTTGTTGTATGGGAAAGAAAAGAATCATGGAGATCGTTTTTGCATAAACTTATGGTTGACTTAAAGCATCCTAATCAGGGACAGAACTATCATGACGGGGTTAAAATATTTTTTATTTTTCATAAATACAATTTTTTAATTAAGAGTTTTGATAATTTTTTAATTTTTCAAAAATATTTAAAAAAAATAATTGATGGGGGTCCAAGGTTCTCCTTTACCCTCAAGGTGTGTTTGGTTCACGGAATATAAGATTACCAGTGGGAATAAAAGATTACCAGGGAATAGATTACTGAGAATGTTGTATTTTGTGTTTGGTTGGTTTAGCAGGAATGTAAGATTACCGTCTTTGGTTAAAGGAATAAAAGATTATTGGAATGTATATTTGACCAAATTGTCATTATTATATATTTGTATAATATTACAAATTGTAAAATATTTATATATTTTCTTTAAAAAATTAAATTCACAATATTTATATAATTTTTTTTAAATTAAAAATATAAAAAAGGTTTAATGAAAGGGTAAATTTTTTTTAACCCCTGAACTTCATATAAAATTTTAATTATAGACTTTTTTTATAAATCTAAAATAATTTAAGGATAAATTTGTAATTTAACCTTCGTAGAATTTTTATTATTCAATGACAGAAGAATGATATTTTTGAAAGAAAAAAAAATTTAAGGGCATTTTAGTCCAAAACGCCGAAATGTTACAATACCCAAGGGAAGGGAGGTAATGACATTCCCGATAATATATCCCAAAAAATCTACTATTGGTAATAAAATATTACGGTAATGAGATTCCCGGCCAACCAAACATGGGAATATGAGATTCCTATCCCACAATCTTTGAACCAAACACCTCCTCATAATGTTATGCCATGGATCTTAACAACAAATAACTTACTTTAATGCTGGTAATGACGGAAAATGTTGATCAAAGGCATTAAATTCTTTTTTGATTTAGAGGCAGTAAAAATTAATACGATGATCAAATTATTTTTTTAAAAAAATTACAAGAATTTCCCGTTGCCTAAAATTTACATTGTTTGGTAAAGAGGCTTTATGAACACAAATTATTTAATGTGTTTATATATTTTTATCTATTATAATTATAATTAAGATATTAAATATACATTTTAATAGTTTAATAACTAATATTATATGATTTTAATTCACGTAATAATATAAGAGAGTTGTACTTTCTCAATCATGTCTCTCCTACTCCCACCATTAACACATACTTTAATTTTTTTTAAAAGAAAGATAGATATTATCATAGCAAAACCTAATCAAATGTATTTTAAAATAATAAAAATATTTCAAACATAAAAACAATTAGTTTATCATAATTTAAAGCTTAACAAGTTACCACCTAACGAAAACAACAGCAGCCAACAAAAGTTAACCTTTTCATTATTTTAATACATAGTTATCTGAAAATTATATATTCTATATCTGACCTGAATCCGACCTTATTTTTTGAGATAAAATTCGAACTCGATCCGACATGACCCAAATAATAATACAAACAGTGATTTAATTGGAAAAAAATATAGAGAGGTATTATTGTAATTATTCTTAAATATATAAGGTAAAATTATATTTTTTTGGGTCGGGTCGGTATTTTTACCCTAAATCCCAATCCGACCCGAACATCGCCTTTAAAAAAATCCGACCCGGACCCGAATTTTTTTGAAAAACCTAACTCGATCGAGTCGGGTTCGGGTTTCATGCACATCCTTAATCTGGTGGGATGAGACATTATATCTTAAGTAAGGTCATAGATTCAAATCCTTAACACTTAAGGTGAAACAATGTATTTTTTAGTGTTTCGTCTCACTACCAATTAGTTATTAATTTATAATGTTTTTTACTGTAATATGGATGTGATAAAATTTTATTATGATATTATACTATAATTAAGTAAAAATAATATTATATTTTACATAAATCTTAATAAATTAATCATTTATATTATATAAACTTAAAACATTTGTATTTGTATTTTATGATGTTTTAATTAATTATTTTTTATGATACAAAGATGGCCTCAATCATAGACATAGTAAACCTAATCAAATATTAAAATGTGAGAGATTAATTATTGTTTAAAAAAAATACTAAAATCTACCTACTAATATAATATCAATTATCTATTTTCTTGGTTTGATAATATAATCATCAATTACATCACCTTTCTCTCCAATCATCCGCTTTTAATTCTCTCTTAGCAAGCGAAGGAAAAAAGATTTTCCTTCTTGTTCGTTCAAAAGAGTTTTCCCGAGAAAATTAAATCCTTGTCTTATAACCCAGATCTAAGGATCATCGCCCGAAATTCTTGCCCATGAATTTGTTCCTTTTGGATTCTCTTCCCTATCTTTTATATTCCTAAAACTTTGATTTCCTAAAAAAAATTATTTCCTTTATCCTACCTAGAAAATGCAGCTTGATGGTCCCAAAATGTTTGTTTTGGTTCACTGGTTAATGGGTATTCCGTAGTTTCTCAGTCAAGTTTTATCCTTTGTTTATCCCTTCAGTCACCACAGAAGTTAACGATTTTTTCTCTCTAAAAAGGGTGGTTTTGTAAGGATTTTAGAACTGGGTTTTGATCTTTGGAATCGATAGATTAGAATTTTAATGGATCTGGTAGCTACTTTAAAGAAAAGAGTATTAAGTCAAATTGACAATATTAGTAAAGTGAAATAAGAAGGCAGGGGTGTTTTTATTTCCCTTTATTGTGTCATAGTTGAGTGTAAAAGGTTTATTAAGATTAGAGCATGGAACATATTATTGGAGGAAAATTCAAGCTTGGTCGGAAGATCGGGAATGGATCGTTTGGTGAACTTTATTTAGGTATTATGATAACGGCGTGTTTATTCTCTCTTTGTGTTTTTATTTCCATTTGTTTCATTGAGTTCCGTTTTTTTTTGGGCAGGAGTTAATGTGCAAAGTGGAGAGGAAGTGGCTGTTAAGCTGGTAAAGTTTGAAGCTGGTGGAATTTTTCTTATTTTTTAGATTGTATTGGTTGATCAGTAGATATATAATATGGTTGTTTAGCCAAGCTTGTTGCTCTTGTGTTTGATGTTATGGTGTGATGCATTTCCTTGTGTTTCACTTGGATGACTAGTACTTTAGATCGTGCCTTTGCTTTTAGAGTGTGTAAAAGTATTTCATTAATTCATATATATACATTTGTTATGATGGAGATGCTAGATTTAGTGTTTGTAGGGTTACATTGTCAAAGGAGATCAGGTGGCACCTGGGATTGTTTAAACCCAAGCAGTTCTTTTTATGCCATTGAAATCTAAGAAAACCAAATGGTGAACTTTCTGATTCTACTAAGTAGTTCACCGAGTTGGAGTTTAGGGGTATGCAAGTTCAAGTACATGTGAAGATAATAATATTCAACTATAAAGGCATTTCGGGAGAGTTTCTTTACACGTTTACTTTTGTAATATGATAAAGGAATTAAGCTCAGAATTTGTCTGACCGTGGTTTATTTTGAATATTCTTAGAATTGTAGCGTGCGATACTTGTTGCTCATATAGGGATGGATCCGTCAATTATTTAAGCTGATAGCTTTAGATTACCTGTTCAAGTGCTTACAAAATTACTCTAGAACTTGTGTCTTTAGGTTGTAATTATGCATCCATTATTCCATTTGATAATCTAATTGAGCTTCATGATATTGTCTCTTCTTGAAGTCTTAAGTTGGTTATCAACATATGCTCTATTGCTCTCCTGTGTTTGCCCAGGAACCTGTCAAGACCAAGCACCCTCAACTTCACTATGAGTCAAAGTTGTACATGCTTCTTCAAGGAGGGAGTGAGTTTTCAGTTTTGTTTTACTCGCTCACTCTGTAATGTGTCTATCTATACTTTATGGTAACACGGAGCCTGTAAGTCGTTTATTTAATTTCTTTTCATGTGCAGCGGGTATTCCTCATTTAAAATGGTTTGGAGTTGAGGGTGAATACAATGTTATGGTTATTGATCTTCTTGGGCCAAGTCTGGAAGATTTATTCAACTATTGCAATCGGAAGTTTTCTTTAAAAACGGTTTTAATGCTTGCAGATCAGATGGTGAGTATTCTACTTTTTTTCAGGTAACTTTAATATTGTTAGCTGGCTACCTTACTAATAATTGTTCTTTCATTGTTGGTAATTCAGTTAAATAGAGTTGAGTATATGCACTCTCGTGGTTTTCTTCACCGCGACATAAAGCCTGATAACTTTTTGATGGGTTTAGGGCGCAAAGCAAATCAGGCATGTTCTTCTGTTTATTCCCCACGTTTAATGGCACATGCATTTTCATGGATTACGTGGCATGAAATTGTTTTGATAAGATTTGCACACAATTTTATATACCATTTGAAATATTGTTTTTCCTTAACTAATATTTTAGTTTGATATAACTGTATCGAACTTATTCAACAAAGATGTCCTAGTACGCATTGCTTATCTCTATTGTTTTCCACCTTTTTCACAGCAGGTATATATAATTGATTATGGCCTTGCAAAAAAGTATAGGGATCTTCAAACACACAAGCACATACCATACAGGTAATACTTTTGATGTGTTTATGTGTAGAATTTGATATTTGCTCTTATAGGCTGATCCTCAATTGACCCAACGTAAGGAGCTCAAAGCTTGACTTAAATCTGTAATTGATTTAAAGACCATGAGTTTTCTAAGAAAGGCTATTTAGCTTAGCAAACAGAAGATAGTTAAAATTTTCATTGGTTATGCTTGTAGCTCATCAACTTGCCTAAGACGTCCATTTACGATCCTAGACTTATAGTGCCTCAAACAATTGGGTTTCATAATTAACTATTATTAGAAAATCTTCATACTTAATTCTGATTTTACCTGTAGTATAAATTGTCAATTCTTTCGATAAGTATAGCTCATATGTTGCATATATGTTTCTCTGGTGAAGTTATTTAATATATGCCACACTGACTTCTTCTTGTACTATTTTATTCTTTCTTTATTAACCCTTTTACTGCCCATGGACTCACATTTCAGTTAACCATTTTTTTCTATAGGGAAAACAAGAATCTTACGGGGACAGCTCGATATGCAAGTGTTAACACTCACCTTGGAGTTGGTGAGACTTCCTGCATTTTATATTAATATGGCTTTTGCTTTCAGCCAACAGCAGCCACTTTGAACTATTTTGGCTTAGATGTATGATCCACTGTGCTTTACATAACTTGCAGAGCAAAGCAGGAGGGATGATCTCGAATCTCTTGGTTATGTGCTTATGTACTTCCTTAGGGGAAGGTTGGTTTAACACACATCGGTTGCTTACTTCGCAAACCTTTTAAATGCCTGGTCACACTGTTAACTTAGTTTCTTGTTATCTTCCTCAGCCTTCCATGGCAGGGCTTGAAAGCTGGCACCAAAAAGCAGAAGTATGACAAGATCAGTGAAAAGAAGATGCTTACCCCCATAGAGGTAGCATTACTTGCATCTGATACATGTGAATTCTTTTATTCAAATAAATAGTTGATCTGTTCAAAATGTTTTCTTTCTAGTTCTCTTAATGTTCGAGAAATCAAAGATTGATTGTATGTCTGATGAGTTATATTCTGTTTTCAGGTCCTTTGCAAATCATATCCTTCTGAGTTCACATCATACTTCCATTATTGTCGATCATTACGGTTTGAAGATAAACCGGATTTTTCATACCTGAAGAGGCTGTTCCGGGACCTTTTTATTCGAGAAGGTTCTCTTGCTATTCTATTTCTTTCTGTTCAAATTTTACTTGACTTTTTTAATTTTGTTTAATTTTGAATATTGAATCAGTCTTACAAGTAGTTCGTCATCATAAATTTTCTATAGAACTTTTATCATCGAATCTGCTTTTTGAACTCTCAAAAGTATTGATTTTGACAGCAAACCGATGCAGGTTATCAGTTTGACTACGTATTTGATTGGACTATGCTGAGATATCCGCAAGTTGGCTCTAGCTCAAGAGCACGGGTCGGGGATCCATTAACTTGCTGGACTTGATTACCATGGAAAAATTAATTTTGTTTCTTCATTAAAGATGCTTATAATATGTTTCGTTTTATTTTTCAACAGCCAAGCCCAAAGCGGGGTTTAAATCCCCCAGGAGTATCTGCTGAAAGAACCGAGAGGCCTTCAGGTCTGTTCCTTTTCACAACCTGATTCGAGAATATAGGAGAATTTAACTATTTGTATTTAACACACCTAAATTTGTCCATGTTCTGACCTTGATTTCCTTAAGTTAACTTACGGTTTTAGCACATTTCTTTATTTGCTCTAGTTGGCCAAGAGATTCGTGAAAGATTCTCTGGTGCTGTTGAGGCTTCTGCAAGACGGAATGGACCTGGGCATGGTGATCAGTCTCGATACAGATCTTCAGATGATGTGCCATCATCCAAAGACGTGGTGAGCGATCTTGTTTCTACAAAAAAAAAATCAATTTCATCTATTATTTATTGATGAATGCCACTTTGCAAGTTTTCTTTTGATTTTGGCTTAAACTTTCTCTCCCTCAGCAACCTGATTCAGATAGGGCTCAGTCTTCCTCGAGAAACGGTAGTACTTCAAAGAGGCCTGTTGTTTCAGGCAGCCGGCCTGGCTCCTCTGGCGAGCCTAGTGAAAACCGTTCTAGCAGATTGGTCTCAAGCGGCAGTCGCCTGTCAACCACTCAGAGAGTTCAACCCGGATTTGAATCCAAATCATCATCTTTCACTCGTGCTGCAGCCACGAAAGGTGGTCGCATTGATGCCCTTCGGAGCTTTGACTTCTTAACAATCGGAAGCGGGAAAAGAAAATAAATGGTAAACACATCTAGTACTCAAGGATTTGCTTATTATGAAGATCTCGGCGCAATAACTGTATTTACAAACAGTTTACTCTGTATATCTGTGTCCTCGATTTGGTTTCATCCGCAACTGCAACAATCTCCCCCAAAGAAGTTCCTACCCGGGGAAAAACTCGTCAAACTTCTTCCTCGTGCACCCTTAATCAGGTATTCTTGCCATTTCCATGTTTCTAGAGTGTCATTAAAGAAAGAAATGATATCATGGTCATCACCTCAGTAAATTGTTCGTATATTACGAAGTTCCAACTATTAATTCTAGCTGTAATAAACACTTGATGTTTCCTTTATTTCATTAGAAGCAAACAAGAAGAATGCCTACAATGTACATTTTGTGTCATCTCCTTACACTTTATATATCTTCGCATTCTGTTCGAGTATCGACGGATCGTTTTAAGGCATTGTCCCTTGGTAAGTTCGTGTCCCTTGGTAAGAGCTGAAGTTTGTACTAATTGTTGTTGTTATCATCAATTTAATATGGGGGTATGTTGTTAATCATTGCTTCTTTCTTGGACTTCACTATTATTGTCATTATTATTTGTCAACTTTAGGTTAAAGTGAGAAAAGAGGTTGTTTAATCACCATCCAGCTCAGTTGGTAGAGCACAAGGTTTTTAATCTTGAGGTCGTGGGATCTAGTCCCACAGAGGGCATTTCATAATTTCGGAGGTCTCTTACGAAAGTTGCTCTCAACCTGGTGTTGGAGGTAGCCTACTATCTTACCTCCCTTTTATCCCATATATATGGGAAAAAGAGAGTCATTTTTTGGTAGCCATTAACGAGTAAGCAACATAGCTTATGATTCAAAAGTGAAGGTGTAGGGCACCAATAGCTGTCCTTAATTTTGGTGTTTCCTTTTACCTCGCCTAGGAGGATTTTTTTTTAAAATAATTTGAGATAATTATAAGATAGTATTTGTTTAAAATTGAACAATTTTTCTTAATTATTGATAATATTACCTTTTAATCCTTAATAATAAATATTAAGGCGTTTCGAAATACAAAACACAGATATAACATGAATACATGAATTGCAAGAGCCGATGGCAAATGGTAAAGGCACTTGTATGTATTGTATACCTGAGAACAAGTTATCAAATTACATGCAGAATGACAAACAATGTGGGCCTTGTACAGGAAATTCATTTTGCTTTGACAATTGGCATGATGTGGAGAGGGAAAATACACAACAAATATAAAAGAATATTTACTTTCGGAAATCATTTTTACTAAAAGAAACAATCTACTGGCTCAAGAAGGAGCCAAATCCCATATCTCAGACAACTTTTGTTTTGGGGGGACATTTGCCCCTAAAACTTCACTGGAGCTTCGAATCAGCAAACACACTCCACCAAGAACTGTCCGGTATAACGAGGATACTGTGTGTTCATTTTCTTGTACGATTCTCGGGGGCTTCTTTTTGCCTACGCAAGAGGTTTGTAAAGCTACCTTGAACAGGTTGACTGGCAGCTTCAGCTGACTCGTCCTCTGCAAAACATAGACCGAGATTGTGACGACCGAACAGCAATCGCACTGCACCCACCAAAAGCATATAATAGCGAAAATATCTTACCGAAAAGGGATTTGATGGAGGGTCGCTTGGGTTTCGTGCTCTTCTTCTTTAATTCAGCTGCACCAAGGAACAAGGCAGAACCAGTCAAATACAAATATAGTTGCTAGGTTAGAAATTTGGAGATGATAGAGGTGTGTTCAAAATAACTAGACCGAGCTTTGATCGAGAAAGACATGCATCGGTGATCATCGAAAAGATGCATAAAGTATTTGAGTTAAATATAGTTCGGGTATGGAAATCACAAGCAGCAAAGGAGAAAAATAAATCGAGGGAGGAGGAAAAATACCGATGCCAGGTAACTGGTTATCATTTACAATTTCAAAGTTCTTGTATGTGTAACCCACAAAGTTTACATCTTTGGATGGAAGCATCTGCATCAAAGGGAAAAATAAATAAATGTGCACGTGAGCAATAGAAACATCATTTATCACTTAACCATGTTATGATATATTAAAGCCAGTAGACCAGAAAATGCTGCGTATAAATTTTCACATGAAAATGGTTCTGGTATTTAAGGAAGAGCAGATTTTCAAAGAATTTCATTTGATGAAACATTAGTATAGCTTCAACAAATGAGCCGAAAGAAATCACCACACCACCCCAAACTAATGGTGCCATTTAATTTTGAATACTTCGGTAAAAGAAAATTTCCTAGCAAACTTGGCTAAGAAACAGTTACTCCTCGAGGCTAAAGGTAGCAGCAGAATTTAGAATATATATAAAAAGAATCTCTATGATATCAATCTTGGTTCACAACATTTTTAATTGAAAATACATGAAATTGTCCTAACCTTTCTCCAAGGACCTGATTTTGCGGCAGACGGAATTTGGTTGTCAGCCTGGTGCATCAAAGAAAGTAAAGCAATAAGAAAATGTCAAAATAGGCCGTTTTGCAATATATATAATCATCAAAACACTAACCTACCTCTTCAAACTTCTCAAAATTTTGCGTGTCCAACTCATCATTGACTTCAGGAATGAATGCAGCTTTCATTTGATATAAGTTGTCCCATTCAATACCTTTAAACCATGGGTGAGACTAGAAAAAAATAACAGATAAAAGCCAGTTAGTTTAGTAGTTTGCATTCTAATTTTTAAACAACGTCAAAGAATCCAGAACAGGACACACCACACAACACCTTAATTTCATGGGCGCCTTTTGTGCCAAGCCTCTGCTCGACATTACATAAAAGTTTACGGATAAGATCTTTTGCTTCTGGTGATAGTTTTGCTTCTTCCGGAAATTTTAAGTGTGTTCTCCAATTTACTATCTGGAAAATGGAGAAAGTAGGTAAGAAGTACAATAAAGGAACATAAAAATATAAACAATAACACAAAACGAAGACACCACCATAACTTAATTGTAAAAGTTACCTTCCGACAGGTTGACATTGGCTCATCTGAATAAAAAGGCGGATATCCAACAAGCATTTCATACATGATAGCACCAAGAGACCACCTAGAGAAATATCCAATAAAATTATCATTACAACCCCACCTCTAGAAATAGATAGAGAAATATCATGTTCAATATACAAACCAATCGCATTCCATCCCGTATCCTTTTTTCAGCAAAACCTCTGGAGCAATATAGTCAGGTGTACCAACTGTAGAGTAAGCCTGCAGCATCACAATATTTAAGTGTTCAAGAAACATTACTTTTCAATTTCAAAAATAGCAAACTCTTAACAAAACCAAACAAGGCCTGAACTGCGGAAAATGGAGAAAGAAGTTGGGAACTTTCTTACTTTGTAAACCCAAATTAGCATCAGTAATAAAAATGCATAATGTTGCATTAGTTACATCATGGTCGTCAAGTACTTACAAGCATCCTCCTGTTCCTCTGCCAGTGCTGTAACTGCTCTTGTTGTGTGCGTTTTGGTGCCACAGGTCGTCCATCACTTTGAAGAGCCCCACTGAGACTCTTTGCCATAGAAAAATCCTTTTCCTGAAGATTACTGCAATCTAATGGTTTACATAATCCAAAATCTGATAATTTCATATGACCATTTCTATCGAGTAGTAGGTTGTCAGGCTTGATATCCCTGCAACATGTGACAGAATGGGATCATCACTTAGTCCAAACTCAAGAAAGCCATTATATATAAGTGTGCAAAGGTTTACCCTATGTCTGGATAAATAATAATAATAAAGGAAAAGAAAGGAAAGGAAAGCTAAAGAAAAGAGAGGAAGGCCAAAGACAGGAAATGACATTTATTTCTTGTTTGGGTAATTAAAATTAATAAAGAAAAGAAAGGGAAGGGAAGGGAATTTAACATTGGTTAAAAACTGGAAAGGAAAGGAACTGTTTTAATAAAATTTTCAATTATCATCTTTATATAAGTAACATATAATAACAAATATGAAACTATAACTAACCTTAAGGCACATAAATTTCATGATATATGAGTCAAATAAACATATATCTATATTTAAAATAGAGGTTGCTAAGCAGAATATAATTATATATACCAAAATATTATAGTCCCAGACTCAAAAGCAAAATATCTAATAACACGCATTTTTAAAGAAATTAGCGGAATATAAAAAAACTCGAACATAAAAAAATTATAGTTCAAAAAATTAAAATTTAAAACCCAATATTTAGTCCATAATATTATTTAAGAAAATTTAGAAAATAAAATGTAAGAAAAGAAAAGAAATTATAGTAAAATATACATATGGCAAAATGGACATTTTAAAAATTAAAATATTTCTACCTTTCCTTTCCTCCAAATTGGGGTTTTAAAAAATAGGGTAAAACAAGCGAAAGTAAGGGAATCTCAACTCCCCTTTACTTCCCCTCATATGTAAATTTTCTCCCAAACAAGGGAATGGATTGTCCTTTCCCTCACTTTACTTACCTTTCCTCACCCTTATCCAATCCAAACATAGTGTTAATGTCATTCCGACTCACCTGTGAATGTAATTATGTTTGTGGATTGATTCAATCGCCAAGACAGTTTCTCCAACATAAAACCTGGCTACATCTTCAGTTAGTATATCTTTTCGCATTAGTAAAGTCATCATGTCTCCCCCGGGCAAATATTCCATAATAAGATATAGGTATTCTTCATCTTGGAAGGAGCAATATAGTTTAACTATGCAATTACTGTCAACCTCAGCAAGTAGATTTCTCTCAGCTTTCACATGTTCAACCTGAATATCAGAAATGCAAGCTAACAAGTTAGCATCATGGCGCAAGACAAGACAAGGAAAATACATAGGCAGTTCAAAATTGTGTACCTGGCCTCTACGAAGCATCTCTGACTTTTTGAGCTTCTTCATAGCATAAACATGACCAGTTGCCTTCTCCCTACAGACTCTAACCTGTAATGAGAAAAGGTTGCGTTAAAAGTAATTCTGGCAAAACAGATCAAGATGTTCAGAAGGATTATTATTTAGTAACAAGCAAACCATGCAACTAAAGCAGTAATAAATAGAAGGCTGTCCTTCCATAAATTCCCTAGACGCATTGTCCGGGAAAAACGGTTTAATAATCTAGTGATAATCATAACTCATCAATTTTTCTAAACATTGGCAAGCAGATTAAAGCAGGATCAGATATAGAAGCAAAAGAAACACCTATGTACGATGTACAATTTAACAAGGATATAATTACCTCTCCAAATGCACCCTTGCCAATCATGATCAATGGCTCAAAATCATCAGCTCCCATCTTATGCCTCTGGATACGCATGTATTCTCTCTCCTTCTTCTCCAAATATTTAAGTAAGTTGTTTTGTTCTTCTTCAGAGACTTCAG